TTCTGGTGCCCCTATTATAGAATGGATATAGATTCACTAGAGTCGGTGCAGCGAAGAATGACAAAAATGATTCCGGGACTTAGAAACCTTCCATATCAGGATAGGTTAAAGAAACTTAACTTGCATTCCCTAGAAAGACGAAGAGTGCGGGGAGATATGATAGAAGTATTTAAGTGGGTGAAAGGAATCAATAAAGGGGATATAGATAAAGTTCTTATAATATCCGAGCAGGATAGGACTCGGAGCAACGGATTCAAGTTGGATAAGTTTAGGTTTAGGAGGGAGATAGGAAGAAACTGGTTCACAAATAGGGTGGTGGACGAGTGGAACAAGCTTAGCAACCTTGTAGTAAGTGCGGGAATTCTGGAAAGTTTCAAAAGGAGGCTAGATAGATTCATGGATGATAGAGAGTGGTAGTAACTCTCGACAGGAGCTGCCATGCACAGGCCAACCGGCCTATTGCAGACTCCTTATTTTCTTATGTTCTTATGTTCTTCAAACGGTTTAAACAGTAGCTGTATTATGCTGTCTTACGCGTAATACTTCATACGCGTTTTTGGTATCAAATTATATTATTTCGTTTCCTGGATCAAACTGTGTGCGGTATTTCATTTTCAGTAAATTTCTACAGCTGAAAAATTAGGATGTCACTGCCTGATAACATCGAACTTGTATTAGTCACTGAAATGGTGCTTTAGTTACATCACCAACCGGAGATGACATCATGTATGAATAACGCCAACCGGATAAGGATTGATGAAATCTTGTTTAGATGGTTATTATCAGATAACAGCGCCAATAATCCTTGATCTGGTCAGTCACATCTGATCTCTGGCACCGCAATCGGTCTTAATTCATAGTGACAGGTCTCATGGTCCAAAACCCGACACTTCAACAGCACCTCTGTAGCAAGGTCAATGAACACTCACGATTCAACAGACCGACTAAACGTGTTTCCTCTCCACCTTAGTAGTCGCATCTTCTACAGTATGCTCTTCCCTCAGTGGTAGACATCTCCTATTATTACTTTTCAGATTATTTTACTTGAGCGTTATTCACCTGCTGCTTCAACAATCCTCTCTTCTCTACTGTGAAAGTGTTCCCTTCCGTCCCCGCAACAGGAAAGAATCAGAAACTGTATCTCAACGTATCAGACCAAGATGAATGATTGCTGATAGGCGTCACATATCTACCCAGGCTTCAGCTGATCTCCGTGATGTCAGCTGATCCTCATGACGTCATCCTCGTGATACAACGCACACATGTGATTCATGACGCAGGCTCGTACTCTTCTTACTGAGTTGACCTTTGACCTTGATAGATGATACACAATGTCCGGGAGTGAAATATTATCTATGTACAGGATTCTTTTCTGTTGCTGAATGTCGACAAAGTAAACATCACTTGCAATACTTCAATGTTAAGTGGTTATAGTCATGGCCAGCATCTCATTAGTGTTTGCTAGTATGTTATATCAACCGTGCGTCAGAGACCTGAAATGCCCCTCTATGGATATGTCTTTTTACATTGTCTTCTGCGCTGAGTGGAAATGTTTGTCTTAACACCCGGGCTCTGGTTTGCTTCTTCGCCAATAGATTCTTATTTTAGCGTGTACCTGTTATATGTCCATGAGTTCAGTACTGTATCTCTATACCAGTGTCATCTGTTTACTGGTCGCTATTTTTATGAACGTTTATTGCTCCGTAGACCTTTAATATAAACGTGTTACTGCGTTTACGCCGATTGTAACGACGTAGTGCTGTAAATGTCTTCGCTGTGTCAGTCTGGAGAACATTAGTGTTGTTTTTAATGTTATTTATTAGTGTTCTTGCGTATACTCGTGTTACCTGTGTCCTGTTGCATATATCTGCATATCTCTGAGCACTCATAATATATTGTTACAGTGTTCACCTCTAAGACAATTGGGTTTTTTTTATGTCGCTGTCGTAATTAGTAAACAGGGTCTTATAAACTTGAAAACTATAGGCATGGTGATCCATTGTAATGAACGCAGATGCTACAAGGAAACTCTCTTGCTGTTTTATCGTGTTAGACATGTCAAAATTGGCCAAAATTGATATAAAGTTTGTTACTCTATTCCTTCTATTTCCAAAGTTATAACTGCTTCAGTGTTTTCCAATGCACACTGGGGCCATTTTTGGATTTGGCGACTGTTTACCATCTAAAAAATCTACCTGTGTCAGTTTGTGATGCCTAATGGCCATACAACTCAAATCAAGCCTTAAACTTCGACCACTTGCTATTTCCTCTTTAAGATTTTCGAAGGGGGAGACTACTTCCCCTCGGAGAGGGAATGATTGAGCCTTGACCAAAGGTCTGACCTTGTCGGAAAAGTGTAGAGTAGTATGAAAAGAGTCCTATCACGTGTTGTAGAGCAGGTAAGTCTTTCGGAATTGGCAATTCCTTCAAAGGACGCAAGCGATCGGCGTCTGGCTTGAGAGTACCATGTGATTTGGTGTAGCCCAACAAGTCAATGGACGTTGCTGAGAAGACAGATTTGTGTTCATTGAAGGTGAATTTTGACTTCTTTGCTGCCTCAAGGAATTTGGACAGATTTCCATCGTGCTCCTGTTGAGACGAACCGGCGATGGTGATGTCAATGTAAGCGAAAGTACCCAGCAGTTCGTTTCTACGTATGAATTCATCGATGGTTCGTTGGATACAAGCCACGCCGTTCGTCACTCTGAACGGGACCCTACGGAACTGGTACAATTCAACGTTCGCCTCATAGGCAGTAAATGGCTTGTCCGTATCCCGTATAAGGATCTGATGGTACGCACTCTTTAGGTCGAGTGTGATGAATATCTTGTAACTAGATAGGTTCGTCACCAAGTCGTCTATCCGGGGCAAGGGATAAGCATCCAGCTGGGTATACCTGTTGATGGTTTGGCTGTAGTCGACAACAAGCCGCTTTTTGTGCCGCTCATTAATAGTGATGAGGACTTGCACCCCCCATGGTGAAGTTCGATTATTGCTAACGACAACATCTTATCGACTTCACCTTGGATGAAAGAATATTCTTTTGTTCTCTTCCAGATGCCATACTACCCTTGGTCAGTTATATGAGCAATATATTGTGGTGAAGGAAGACTAGAGTCGACCTTTTTCTAGGCTTTATTGTTCATATAACTGACCAAGGGTAGTATGGCATCTGGAAGAGAACAAAAGAATATTCTAGTAAGTGAAGGGAACAATACAAATTACTAATATAATATAACCCCAAACAAAATAAAACCCAATGATAAGAAACATAATATATGTACATATGCACACAACAAGATAGAAGACATGGGCTCAAGTGTACAAGTGTAGCATAACTTTATTACACACACACACACACACACACATATATATATATATATATATATATATATATATATATATATATATATATATATATATATATATATATATATATATATATATATAAATCCTAACAGCTGGCCAATCTTCGGTATAAATAACACATTCCATTAATTTCTGCGCTGTACAAAGGACACTATAATATAACGACGAATAGACAGTAAGAGAAGTTTGTAGATCGACGGGCTAATTAATACATACATACATACATACATACATACATACATACATACATATTAAAAGATCCTCCTCAAGAGGCCTCAGTTTCACTCACTTGTGTGTGTGTGTGTGTGTGTGTGTGTGTGTGTGTGTGTGTGTGTGTTATCCAAATTGAGTAAACCTCAAGCCTCCTGAGAAGGATCTCTTAATCCGTATGTTTTCTAGTGTATGTATGTGTACAGTGTGCATGTATTGTATGTATGTATATGTATGTATGTATGTATGTATGTATGTATGTATGTATGTATGTATGTATGTATGTATGTATGTATGTATGTATGTATGTATGTATTTATGTTTATGTTTCCGGTAAAGTGTGAAAATCAGCCATTTTATGCAATGCCAATTTTTTCTCTTTTTTTGTAAAATATGAAGTAAGCTTCTTTAATCCGATCTTTTATATTTTTCCTAGGTATTCTATACATAAGGTAGGGATTATGTTCTTACTAACTCCATGTTACTTGTACTATTCCAGTTGATACTATATGTTACTTAATACTTCCTTGAGATAAATGTACAGTATACGAGTATATCAGGTGCCATTAAGAGAGCTCAGGTTCACAATTGGCTCAGCCATGTCAATATTGTTATTATTATCCACTCTGTATCTGTATTTTTATGGTTAAATAATCTGATTCAGTATCTATATATATCAATATATAAAATGCGTAAATGGGCTTAGGAAAAGCATTAAAACGTTAGGTTAGGTTAGGTTAGGTTAGGTTAGGTTAGGTTAGGTTAGGTTAGGTTAGGTTAGGTTAGGTTAGGTTAGGGGAATAAACGTGTATATACAGGTTTCGTTTCACACATTGTCAAAAACAAACCTGGTAATATATAAAATGTCTAGGGAAGGTGTACGAGATGATTGGTATTATACTTTGCCTTAAAGTTTTAGGCATTTTATAAAATGCCTAATAATTCTACACGACACCGGATTTCACTCATTACCGGTAACATACAGTATATAGTAAATAACCCTGCGATCTAGTTATTTCTCTTTCTGTTCATTCATCGTGTGTGTGTGTGTGTGTGTGTGTGTGTAATGCTGATCATGGTACTCATAGTTTATCATCACGTCAACGTTGATCTTTGCTTCAATAACATTTTCTATCCGGGATGAATATGCTGATGCTTTATAACAAAACTTGTATGAAAATCTCCAAAAATGCCTTTGGCGTCTTCATGCCCACCCATTAACGTAATATAATACCTACTGTACTGAGAACTACAGTGACCCACACCCACTCTACGTTAACTCTCCAAAGCTGTCTGTACGATTCAGTTACATGGGCAGCCGTCTCTTGGTCCATCTGCCTACAATTGCAAGCTTCAGTTTAATATCTCTCTCGCTTATCTTAGTTTCTGCTTCCATTACTAACTTGAGGCATCACCCTCAGAATATCCAACTTGTGGGCCCCTAAGAAGCGACGCCAACAATACTCACCTGCCTCAGGCCCTCAACTTTCCTCCAGGCCGTACACACCACGGGACGACGATGATGACGATGGTGACAATGGCATCGGCAGGCAGACCAGGGAACGTGTAGCACTGATGGAGCGGCAGTCCCGAGTGAAGGTATGTCAAACAGCCCGCGTCCATAGAAGACCAATTGTTTTAGTGGCAAAATTAAGAAAACCTTTTTTCTGTGCCTTCCTATCTGTGTGAAACATTTTTTTTGTGTGTTAACATTTATGTAGTCTAAACTTTATTTTAACATCTTGGTGGTGACTTATTTTCAAAATTTATCTATGCAAGCAACTTTCTGTAAATTGGCCTTAACCAATGAAAACAATAGTTTCTGGGTCAATGCATTGCCATTTTTTTAACAGAAGTAATTTGCTAGTTGAAAGCGAGTTAGCTTTAACAGTTATTTCATTCAGTGGAGTGCTGTGACAACTTCCTTTTAAGCTAGTAGTGTTTAAACTCACAGAACCTCTATGGAAATGTCTCAGCTTTAAAAATATTGTCTTTTAATCCTAAAATGGAACCAATGTTAAGCATGCAATTCAAGATACATGAATTAACACCGTAGTCACATAAGAGGTAGTTTTAACATAAGTGCTATAGACGGTGCCATCCTTCCTATAACTTGCCTTAATCCAGTGAATATACACGATAAATTGATTATCTTTGAACATATCTGCCCCTGAACAATTGTACAAATAAAATTCACTGCTATAATAATCCTATGGCTGCAGTAATTTTGCCAATCTGGCAGCTGAGATGAGGATGTGACTGATCACTGAAGAATAGTAGTGTCTACCACAGGGAAAAGTGCTGTTTGAACACTACTGGATAATCAATAGTTTTCAGATATGTAAGATGATATATATCAGACTTTTGTTACATTTCACGTGTATATCAGAATACTGTGAAGCTATGCATGATTAACACTGAGCTACACGCAACATGCAACACATCTAAGAGTAGAACACCTTTTTGTTGTTTGCCTATCTCTTGCCCTCCTGTACCCTCGTCTTTGCACCAACACCAAGACTAACAGGAAGACCTCTTCGCTCCTGCGCTCCACCACTACTATGCATCTTCTGACTCGTCCTCCTCCTCTACCTCAAGACTTCTCTCTGCTTTTCTAAGGCTTGTCGCCCTTGTATCACTTCCACATCCACCCCCTTGAGACCCAAATAGCTGTCCTGTAGTCTAGTCCTTTAATAAAATTACATCTCCTTTTCCTTTACCTCCGTCCCTGCCCCAGCCCTCATGTTCCTACCTAGTCCTAAAACCTTAACCACTCAACGACCTCCTCCTTTCCCAACTCAACCACTCGCCCTCATATTCCCTCATTCCCTCCAACATCGTTTCACTTCTGCTTCTGCCTCCCATTAGGCCCCATAACCTCCAGTGTGCCTCCTGCCATAACCGATTCACCATGTCACCCTTCTCAGAGTTTGCACGGCTCCGGCAGAGGGGTTCGGATGCGGCAGAAGACTCGAGTCCAATCTAACCAAAACCCCGTGCCTGTCCTGTTCCGCGAGTCTCTTGTGAAGGTAGTGGCGGCACGTTGCTTTGTGTGCCTGCTCCTGTACGTGTAGTGTGTGTGTGTCTATATGTTTATATTTAATGTATACGAGTAAATATGTGTCTGTCTGTGTGTGTGTGTGTGTGTGTCTGTGTGTGTTTTGTGCGCATAATTATTGTATCTGTCTGTTTACGTTTAAATGGGTGCACACCCGAGATAAGAATATTCCTAACTTCGACTTTCGCCGGGAAATAAATATAGTTGCTAAAAAAAAAGAGCACGTCAGCAACGTCAGCTCCCTTTATGTAGAGGCCTTGACCGTGAGTAGCCTGGCGACCTTTGGTACAACGTGTGAGAAATGTTTATGGAAATATATAATGATTTTTATATGCGTTATAAGTGTGAAGGAGTGCAATGGTCGAATGAATACAGTGCTTACCTTCAGGCTTAAGAGTCATTGTCTAGCGTCCAGGAAACTCCTTGTTCACCCAGCAATGAATGGGTATCTAACTTTACAGTTGGGGAAATGAAAGTCAAATGCAATGTCAACCGTACTATCTTTTTGCGTTCCGTAAAAAGGTTAAGTCTTCATTGCGCTGTATCCACACTTCCCCTAATGGCCCGTCAGGCCTAAGGGACCCCTTTCATAAACTTGAGAAAGGTTAATTAAAAGTCTGTTAGTTCACTGCCTGAGGAGGCTGTTATAGCAAAATAGCTTATACTCGGTTTCTCTCTTGATTATTTTAGGGTACTATTAAGTGTTACCAAAAATGAACTTGGGTAGATTGTCTGACCAGTGGTCATTCTCAGAAAAAAATGCACTTTTGCATGCGTAACCTTCGGACGCTGTGTATGGGCCAGTTGGACTGGCATAAATCATGCCATATTCAATTAAAGTATGGCAACTTGCATATCAAAATGACCGTCTCGGCCCTAGTGATACAACAGAACCACAATCCAGTGTATCCGCTTCCCATCCAAGAGAATTATTGGTCAAAATGGAATAAAAGTGTATAAGTAAAAGTTATAAGCAGGTTTATTCGCAAGTTACCTTCAAGTTAATATGAAACATATTAATAAATAAAGCAACATATTCTTCGTTATTTGCGTCGATACATTAATTCTCAATCAAATCAAGTTAAGATCTGTCTGAGTGCTGCATCAGACGGATGTCCTATGTCCTGTGAGATGGTTTGTGGTTACAAGGTACAGTGTATCACCGAACTAGAGTCACAGCTTGAAGAAGCTGACCTGAGAATCATTCCTCATGCTGCTGCTAGTGGTAAGAACAGAGTTGTTGGTGTGTTAAATGACATAAATAGTGTCATAGCAATGCTGCACTTTTGTACCTCGATGCGTCTAAGTGTTGGTGTTGGAGACACCACATGATGTATCCCAGTCTGTACTCTGGCGGAGCTCACTCCTGATGTCTGCTCAGTTTTCCCAGCTATCCACACCCTTATCGGGTGTAATATAACCAGTAAGTTTGGGACAAAGGCTGGGACATTGAAGGTAGAGAATGGCATGGACTACCATGGATCATTTAGGAAGCTCGAGGCAGATATGGAAGAAGTATTTGCCAAAGCTGAGGCATATTTGGTTCAGGTATTTAAACCAGGGTCATCTTGTAAGACCCTTGATACCTACTGAATGAACTCTATCACCAGAGCAAGCTCCAGACCCTGGACAAATTGCCACCATCGAGTACATCAACCAGGGGTAATTTGTTGTGCTTTTCTTGCAACACAAACAATACCTAACTGTTTAAGAAGGATATGTTGTTGTATGGCTACCAGGACATTGGTGGGGTGTTGGTGGAAGCCAGTTTCTCACGAGGCAAGGTGCCGAGAAAATAAGGCATTATGCTGTAAGTTCTGCAAATGTTACTCACCAGATACTACTTGTAAGAAATCCTTTTCTGGTAGTCTTACAATTATGAAGTGTATAAACTATCCTATCGTTCTATATATGAATAATTCTCATGTATGAAGGATAATGGCACTTCATTGAGAGATTACAAAGCTTGAAGAGCTTTGTAATTTCCTAATGAATGCAATTAGGTACAAAATCATTGATTTACACACAGTAATTGCCATTTAAAATAATGAAACTCAGATTATGCCGCTTTATTTATTAATGTGGAGGTAATTTGCGAATAAACCTGCTTTTAACTTTTACTTATGCAATTTTATTCAATTTTGACCAATAATTCTCTTGTATGGATGGCAGATACACTGAATTGTGGTTCTGTTGTATCAGTAGGGTCGAGACGGTCATTTTGATATGCATGTTGCCACACTTTAATTGAATATGGCATGATTTATGATATATGCCAGTCAGACTAGCCCATACACAGCGTCCAAAGGGTGTGGGTACAAAAGTGCATTTTTTTCTGAGAATGACCTTGTTTTGGCCCTGTTGATTCTTGATGAGTTTATAGAGCTGGAACATGTAAAAGTTTATTGGGTTTTTAGTAGAGAGAAACCTAACTGGTCCTTTCTTCATCTATTAGGAAAATATATTATATACAGTTCCAAATGTATATCACCTTAACTTAATCACTGTAGCTATGAGTGTTTAATGAGGACGGAGGCTATCTTAAAGTAGCTCTACTAAATAAGTCCAATTGATGTGAAAGTGGGAGTGATAGTGAGTAGAGACTGCTCGAGGGAGAACAGAATTTATCAGACGTCCTTCTCTCGGGAGTGATGAGTAACTCCCCTTCGAGGTGCTCGAGGGAGAACGGAGAATATCAGACGTCCTCCCTGGAGGAGAGACAGAGCACATCAGGGATGGCTCTGATAAAGTCTTCCTCTTGAGAGTGTTATCAAGCTACTGCCCTCAATAGGTGGCCAGGGAGCCTGTTACTTATGCCTTGAGTTAGCACTAAGTGACGCGCCTTCCTGTGGACACACCCGATCACGTGCTCTGAACATGTCACCTCATAGCTAGTGGAAAGTTACAGGGGATAATAGTTATACAAGACTAATATAATTAACCCACATTTATATAAGTACTTCTGCCTATGAGACGGGCTAATACATTGCTCGGTCAAACCTTCCGAGCTCTGCGAGGAATAAACTAATCAAGCAGAAAAACCCTATACATATACCTACCCATTTGACATGCATATGTTTGTAAACACTGAACTGGGGAAGCTGACACCTGCAGTTGAACAGCTACTAAGCCCTAGTCTGAAGTGCCTTATGGGAGAGTATATTATGTACAATGGCAAACTTGGAAGATTCTTTCTTATAATCACAAAACAAAAATATTACTGCCAATTCACATATTCCTTCTGCAGCAGGTATAAATGCAAATACAACCTCTGGTCAGACAGCCTGCCCAAGACCTAAAAAGTACCCTAAAACAATCAAGAGAGAAATCGAGTACACGCCATTTTGCCACATTTTGCCACAGGACCCCCTCAGACAGCCCATTATATGTGTTAATAATGATTTTGCATGTGTGTTAAAATACATGGTAGCCTATTCTGTGGAATAGGTTATAACTTGACTGAGTCTCTTGAATGTATATATATATATATATATATATATATATATATATATATATATATATATATATATATATATATATATATATATATATGTACAGACTAATTTTTGGTAAACATGTCATCCGTATCCTGATTTAGTATGCCTTCATACTAGACACGACTTACACACATATAATTTAAAGAATGTCATTAAATTTTAAATTTGATAATTATATCTAGTGTTCTACATGCGCTTTTCTTTACCCTTCCGCAAGTGTGTGTGTGTGTGTGTGTGTGTGTGTGTGTGTGTGTGTGTGTGTGTGTGTGTGTGTGTGTGTATCGTATCATGAGAGTCATCCCTGAGTTGGTGTATGACTGAATCTATGAATGTACGCCTTACTCAACTCATCGCTATATTTTGCTGATGCTAATTTTAAGATCTCATTAACTGCTTTTCACCCAACTACCAAGCGAGCAGCAACGCTGTGGGCTCATTCGTCCAACCATTCATCCCAAGCCAAACTATCTTAATCAGGAGTGCAGCGAGAAGAAATGACCGCGAAGTCTGTTATAATAAAGTCATGAACCATCCTTGATGCGACCATAAATGTTGCTGATGTCCTGCACAGTGGTTGGGCGAATAGCAGCTGCCAGGACACTCGGGCTTATAGATACGCAACACAGAGGTGATGTTAGCAGACTTGTGTCGAGGCCAAGACGCATCTGCTGGTTATGTCCTCATTTTTTTTTGTTTTCAGACCCCCTTCGTGAGACCTAGTGTGTGGTGTGTAAATAAACCAGCATGGGATGTGCTTCTAGTTGTTGTCTTGTTGTGCCCTGATTGATCCTGAGAACGGAAGGATAGTTGTATTGAATCTTAGTCTACTGTAATAACTGAACTGATGCATCTGAGTGCTATTATAAAGTGATTATTTGTACAGTACATGCTAATGAATTGTGTGTTGAGAATGGTTGTCGTTTACAGTATTGAGACCATAATCAACAAATAATATATATATATATATATATATATATATATATATATATATATATATATATATATATATATATATATATATATATATATATATATATATATATTATATATATATATATATATATATATATATTATATATATATATATATATATATATATATATATATTTATATATATATATATATATATATATATATACTCTTTTTCATCACCTCGCTTCTCCTCCTGCCTGTGGTATTTGCCTGGTGTGTGTCACTTTCAATCGTAGTTTAGTGACAGTGTGTGGTGTGCTGCCCCTCCCTCAGGCTACCTCCCGGTACGGCGGCTACTCTGCCCACTTCTGCTTGGAATTATTCCTATTGCCTTCAGTTTACAGCGAAAGAAAACAAATCTGAATATTTCAACAATCCCTATATTTTCAGAGAGGTTAAACACAAAAATTAAAGAAAATATCTTATTTGGTAATTTTCTTATTATATTTTTCTGAATGATAACCAGAAGAATCTCCGTCACATGAGTGTATAAAGTTCATGGAGAATCCAGGCAACAGATTTTAGTAGAGTAAACACATGTTGAGTCTGTCCCGCCGTGTTTATAAACTTAAAATATTATGACCAAATGATATTGCATAGACTATTTTTTTTTCTATCCATTCCATGTACCCGCCATCCGTGAACTGTGACCTGCTGCGACACCATGAACTTCTATCATCCCATGAACTCTGACCCGTGAACTGTGGACCCCGTGAATAATGACCCCGTGAACTACGATCCCGTGAACTGTGACTCCGTCTCTATTGGACTTGCTATTGTTGATGATGATGGCCTGTTGGCCTCCTGTGGTTATTATTACTGTTGCTACTGACCTCTTCAAATTCTGTTGCACCTGAAAATGTTATCATGACCTGGGGTTGACCTGATACCATTATGTTGAACTTGTGTTAACCTGGTGCCTTTATATCGACCTGGTGTTGACCTGGTACCTTTATGTTGACCTGATGTTGACCTGGTGCCTTTATATTGACCTGGTGCCTTTATATTGACCTGGTGCCTTTATATTGACCTGGTGCCTTTATATTGACCTGATGTTGATTCGGTGTTGATCTGTGACTATATGTTGACCTGTGCATTTATGTTAACCTGGTGCCTTTATGTTGACTTGGTGCCTTTGCAATGATCTGGGGTTGTCCTGGTGAACCTATGTTGACCTGGTATCTTTTTGTTGACCTGATAATGACCTGGTAATGACCTACCGGTTGGTGAGCAGAACCAGAAGAAGAAGAGGCCAGGGAAGAGAGAGCGCCGTCGTCGGGCTCGTTCACCTGTTACCGTCGCCCACTTCGTCGCCTCCCCTATCAACAGGACCTCCCGCCACGGTACCTCACACAGTTCTCTAATGCTCCTCCTCATCACACATATGCTCCTCTCTCACCATTCATGCTAGCTCCATCACACATGTTCGTTTCTCATCACTCCCTTCTCTCCTATTACCTCACATGCTCCTCTATCATCTCACATGCTCCTCTATCATCTCACATGCTCCTCACTCATCATGCATGCTTCTCCCTTATCACTAATGCTCCTCTCTCATCTATCATACTCCTCTCTCATCACTCATGCTCCTCCCTCATCACTAATGCTCATCTATCATCACTCATGCTCCCTACCCATCACTCATGCTCCTCTCTCATCACTCATGCTCCCTACCCATCACTCATTCTCCTCTCTCATCACCCATGCTCCTTACCCATCACTCATGCTCCTCTCTCATCACTCATGCTCATTAATCATGATCTTCCCTTATCATGCCCCTCCCTCTTCATCCATGCCCTTCTCTTATCACACATGCTCCCCTCATCACTAATGTTCCTCTCATCTTTCTTTCATCACTCACGGTACTCCCTCATCACTCATGCCTTTCTTTCATCATGTGTGTTCCCTAACATCACATGTGCTCCACTTTCAGCACTCAAGTTCCTCTTCCATCATGCACGATCATCTCCCATCACACATGGTCTCTCATCACTGATGCTCATTAATCATGATCCTTCCTTATCACTCTTGCTCCTCCCTCATCACTCATGTTCCTCCCTCATTGCTAATGCTCATCTATCATCACTCATGCTCCTCTCTCATCCTCCCATGCCTCTCTCTCATCACTCATGCTCATTAATCACAATCTTCCCTTATCGTTCATGCTCCTCCCTCTTCACCCATGCCCTTCTCTTATCACACATGCTGCTCCCTCATCACTAATGCTCATCTATCATCATTCATGCTCCCTACCCATCACTCATGTTCCTCTCTCATCACTCATGCACATTATCCATGATCTTACCTTATCGTTAATGCTCCTCTCTCATCATCCATACTCCTCTCTTATCACATATGCTCCTCCCTCATCAATGTCTCCTCTCATCATTCTCTCATCACTCACGGTACTCCCTCATCCCTCATGCTCTTCTCTCATCATTCATGCTCCTCCCTCATCATTCATGCTCCTCCCTCATCACCCATGCTCCACTCTTATCAATCATGCCCCTGCCTCATCAGCCATACCCCTTCTCTCGTCACCATATGTTCCTTTCTCATCACACATGCTCCTCTATCATTACACATGCTCCTCTCTCATCACTCATGTTCCTAATTAATCACTTATGTTCCTCTCTCATTGCACAAGATCCTCCCTCATCACTCATGCTCCTTTCTTATCATGCGCAATCCTCTCTCATCACCTATGATCCTCCCTCACCACTAATGCTCCTCTAATCATCCTTTCATCACTCACACTACTTCCTCATCTCTCATGCTCTTCTTCCATCACTTATGCTCCTCCCTCTCTACTCATGCTCCTCTTTCATCACTCATGCCCCTCTCTTATCACTCATGCTCATTAATCATGCTCTTCCCATCTTACCCATGCTCTTCCCTAATCCTGCTCCTCTCAAAATCCTTTCATCACTCATGCTACCTCTTGCTCATGCTCTTATCTCTTCATTCATACTCCTCACTCATGCTCTGCCCTCATCACTACATATAACACCACCCATCATCACTACATATAACACCACCCATCATCACTACATATAACACCACCCATCATCACTACATATAACACCACCCATCATCACTACATATAACACCACCCATCATCACTACATATAACACCATCCATCATCACTACATATGACACCACCCATCATCACACATATAACACCACCCATCATCACTACAATAACCACCCATCATCACTACATATAACACCACCATCATCACTACATATAACACCACCCATCATCACTACATATAACACCATCCATCATCATCACTACATATAACCATCCATCATCACTGAATCGGTAAAGTAGTTTCGAGATTCTCGTCTTACACACACACATACTTCTTTGTTTTTATATATATATAAAAAAAAAAATATATATATATTTTATATATATATATATATATATATATATATATATATATATATATATATATATTTCATTAGCCCAATAAAGCAAGCAGACTTCTACATATAATCAACACCTCACCCCGCCAATTCGAACCCCGATCATAATTGTGAAATGTTACCTCTGGGCCACCAGGTCACTAAAGCAGTCCTAGACTCTGTTATATTTCATACAAAGCCTGTTCAACGAGCTTATGGCCGTGAACCTCTAATGGGACTACTCGTGCAGCAGGTGATCAGAGTAACATTTACTGGTTTGGTAAAACGTTACTCTGTCCACTTATGTGCAAGGTAGTCCCCGCAGCACCACTCGCACACGGTCTCCGACCCACATCGGGACCTGAGAGGCTAAATATGTAATAATATTCATAATAATAATAATAATAATACATAAAGAACCACAAAATTAAAAAAAAAAAAAAAAAAGTGAGAAACGATACATGTTTTGTTTGTAGTATGAGACACAATTGAGACCCTGCAATTGTGTGTAAATGAGACAGAAAGTCAGATCAGCAACCTGTGACTTGGTCACAATTTTCGTGATGCCATATGGCAGCAGGGTCTACCATTAGACAACACATTATGCTTCTAATTTCTTCCCAGGCGGTAGTACCTCAGTGTTTGGTAGCTGCCTCCTACTTAAGAACATAAGAACATAAGAATGAAGGAAACTGCAGGCGGGCCCATTGGCCCATTCTGGACAGTCCCGTTTACACCCAACCCTTATTACTCATATATCCATCAAACCTATGTCTGAAGCTATCCAGCATATTCTACCCTCATATATATATATATATATATATATATATATATATATATATATATATGTGTATGTGTATATATATATATATATATATATATATATATATATATATATATATATATATATATATATATATATATATATATATATATATATATATATATATATAAAATTGGGTGTACAATTCCTGTTGATGTTTGGGTTTTTAATGTTACGTAATCTATTAGTATGACATTAGTACGACAATAATTAGAAAATTAGTAAACAACTGTAGGTGAAGGAATTTTGCATTTTGAATCTTAGATGTGGAACAAGCAAATCTATCTTAAGTATATTTTGTATCTAACATACCCCATTCCTTTCTCCTCCCACCCATCTCCTCGTACCCTGACCTCTTGAAACATTTCTATGTCATTCTCCTTCTCCTAATTCTTCTTATCTTTCTCTTTTCACATCCTCTCCCCTCCAATTTTTTCTTGGCCCTGACTTTTCTTATCTCTTAATTTTCTCTTTCTTCTCCTTTGTCGCCATTGCTCTTTATTTTATATGACCCTACTTTACTTGCTTCACTTTTCTCTTTTTCCTGTGCCCCTCCCACCCCTCCCACCCGACTCCATCCTGCCGTCCTTGCAGGTTACAGGTTCAGACAGGTGCACCACAGTGGACACCAGCTGCCTGGATGGAGCAGCTCGGCCTCCAACATAATCTCCCTCAACAGCGGCACTGTCACCGTCAGGGCCGGCCTATACTACCTCTATGCTCAGGTACGTCCCACAACACCTCTATACTCAGGTAAACTCTACCACTTCTACACTCAGCTTTACCCCGATACACCTCTCTACTCAGGTAGACTCCATGACACCTCGATACTCAAATACACGCACTCTATAACACTTAGGTACAACCAATACAACTCTACACTCAGATAAACTTCCCAACACCTCTACCCACAGTTACACTTCCCTACACACTACTCAGTTACACTTCCCTACACCTCTACACCCAGTTACACTTCCTTACACCTCTACACTCAGTTACACTTCCCTACACATCTACACTCAACTACACTTACCTACACCTCTACACTCAGTTACACTTCCCTACACCTCTACACTCAGTTACAGCTCCCTACACCTCTACACTCAACTACACTTCCCTACACCTCTACACTCAGTTACACTTCCCTACACCTCTACACTCAACTACACTTCCCTACACCTCTACACTCAGTTACACTTCCTATACCTCCATACTCAATTACACACCCCAGTACACCTATACACTCAGATAAAATCCCCAGTACACCTCTAAATTCAAATACACACCTCAGTACACCTCTACAGTCAGGTATACACCCCAATACACCTCTACAATCAGGTACACCTCTACACTCAAGTACATACCCCAGTACACCTCTATTTTCAGGTACACCCCAGAACACTTCAACACTCAGGTACACACCCCAGTACACCTCTACACTCAGGTACACCCCAGAACACTTCAACTCAGGTACACACCCCAGTACCTCTACACTCAGGTACACACCCAGTACACCTCTACCTCAGGTACACACCCCAGTACACCTCACACTCAGGTACACAGTACACCTCTACACTCAGGTACACACCTAGTACACCTCTACACTCAGGTACACACCCATTACACCTCCAACATGAGTACACATCCCAGTACACCTCTACATTCAGGTGCAGTACACCTCTACACTCAGGTACACATTCCAACACACCTCTCACTCAGGCCACCCCTCTACACTCAGGTACACACCTAGTACACCTCTACACTCAGGTACACACCCCCAAACACCTCAACACTAGGTACACACCCAGTACACCCTCTCCGCTCAGGTACACACCCCAGAACACCTCAACACTTAGGTACACACCAGTACACCTCTACACTCAGGTACACCCCAGTACACCTCTACACTCACGTACACACCAGTACACCTCTACTCTCAGATACACACCAGTACACCTCTCCTCTACACTCAGGTACTCCAGTACACCTCTACACTCACGTACACACGAGAACACCTCAACACTTGAACAACACCCCAATCACCTCTACACCCAGGTACACACCCCAGTACCTCTACACTCTGGTACACCCCAGTACACTCAGGCACACCCCATTTCACCTCCACACCCAGGTACACACCCCAGTACCTCTACACTCTGGTACACACCCCAGTACACCTATAAACTCAGGCACACCCCATTTCACTCAACACACCAGGTACACACAGTACACCTCTACACTCAGGTACACACCCCAACACCTCTCTCTCAGGTACACACCTAGTACACCTCTGCACTCAGGCACACACCCCAGAACACCTCTACACTCGGTACCAGCACACCTCAACACTTATTTACACACCCCAGTACGCCTCTACACTCAGGTACCCCAATACATCTCACTCAGGTACACCTCTACACTCAGTTACACGCCCAGTACACCTCTACACTCAGGTATACCCAGAACACCTCAACACTTAGGTACACACCCAGTACACCTCTACTCAGGTACATTACACCTCAACATAGGTACACATCCCAGTACCTCTACATTCAGTACACACCCAGCACACCTCTACACTCAGGTACACATTCAATACACCTCTACACTCAGGTACACCTCTACACTCAGGTACACACCTAGTACACCCCTACACTCAGGTACACACCCAGAACACCTCAACACTTAGGTACACACCCCAGTACACTCTGCTCAGGTACACCCAGAACACCTCAACACTTAGGTACACACCCCAGTACACCTCTACGCTCAGGTACACACCCCAGAACACCTCAACACATAGGTACACACCCCAGTACCTTATACACTCAGGTACACACCCAGTACACCTTACACTCACGTACACACACCAGTACACACTCTCTCTCAGCTATACACCCAGTACCTCTACACTCAGGTACACCTCTATCTCAGTGCTCACCACAGTACCTCTACACTCACGTACACCCAGAACACCTCAACACTTGAACACACCCCAGTATACCTCTACACCCAGGTACACACCCAGTACACCTCTACACTCTGGTACACACCCCAGTACACCTATAAACTCAGGCACACACCCCATTTCACCTCAACACCCAGGCCACACCCCAGTACACCTCTACACTCAGGTACACACCCCAGTACACCTCTACTCTCAGGTACATACCCCATTTCACCTCAACACCCAGGTACACCCCAGTACACCTCCACACTCAGGTACACACCCCAGTACACCTCTCTCTCAGGCACACACCTAGTACACCTCTGCACTCAGGCACACACCCCAGAACACCCCACACTCAGGCACACCCCAGTACCTCAACACTTATTTACACACCCCAGTACACCTCTACACTCAGTACACACCCAATACATCTCTACACTCAGGTACACCTCTACACTCAGTTACACGCCCCAGAACACCTCTACACTCAGGTACACACCCAGAACACCTCAACAAGCAACACTTAGGTACACACCCCAGTACACCCCTACACTCAGGCACACACGCCAGAAACACCTCAACACTTAGGTACACACCCCAGCACACCCTCACACCATGTACACACCTAGTACACCCCACACCAGGTACACACCCCATACACCCCCACACTCAGGCACACACCCCAGTACACCCCACACCAGGCACACACCCCAGTACAACTCTACACTCAGGTACACCTCACACCTGGTACACACCCCAGCACACCTCTACACTCAGGTACACACCCCAGAACACCTCAACACTTAGGTACACACCCCAGTACACCTCTACACTCAGGTACACACCTAGAACACCTATACACTCTGGTACACAACCCAGTACACCACCTGGTACACACCCCAGAACACATCAACACCTAGGTACACACACCAGTACACCTTACAACCAGGCACACACCCCATTCACACCTCTACACAGGTACACACCCCAGAACACCTCAACACTTAGGGTACACACCCCAGTGCACCTCTATTCTCAGATACACACCTAGTACACCCTCTGCACTCAGGTACACACCCCAGAACACCTCTACACTCGGCACACACCCCAGTACACCTCAACACTTATTTACACACCCCAGTACACCTCTACACTCAGGTACACACCCCAACACTTCTTACACTCAGGTACACCTCTACACTCAGTTACACGCCCCAGTACACCTCACAATCAGGTACACACCCCAGAACACCTCAACACTTAGGTACACACCCCAGTACACCTCACACTCAGGTACTCAACCCCATTACACCTCAACACTTAGGTACACATCCCAGCACACCCCACATTCAGGCACACACCCAGTACACCTGTACACTCAGGTACACATTCCACACACCACACCAGGCACACCCCACACCAGGTAGCACACCTAGTACACCCCACACTCAGGTACACACCCAGAACACCTCAACACTTAGGTACACACCCCAGTACACCCTCTGCTCAGGTACACACCCCAGAACACCTCAACACTTAGGTACACACCCCAGTACACTCTACACTCAGGTACACATTCCAATACACCTCTACACTCAGGTACCTCCAAGGCACACACCCCAGCCTCAACACGTAGGCACACAACCCACACCTCTACACTCAGGTACACACCCTAGTTTACCCTACATCCAGGTACACACCCCAGTACACCTCTACACTCAGGTACACACCTAGTACACCTCTTCACTCAGGTACACACCCCAGTACACCTCACACTCACGTCACCCCAGAACACCAACACGTAGGCACACAACCCAGTACACCTCTACACTCAGGTACACACCCTAGTTTACCTCACATCCAGGTACACACCCCAGCACACCCCTACACTCAGGTACACACCTAGTACACCTCTTCACCAGGTACACACCCCAGTACACTTACACTCACGTACACACCCCAGAACACCTCAACACGTAGGCACACAACCCAGTACACCTCTACACTCAGGTACACACCCTAGTTTCTTACATCCAGGTACACACCCCAGTACACCCCACACCTCAGGTACACACCTAGTACACCTCTTCACCCAGGCACACCCCAGTACACCCCCACACTCACGTACACACCCCAGAACACCTCAACACTTAGGTACACACCCCAGTACACCTCTACACTCAGGTACTCACCCCATTACACCTCAACACTTAGGTACACATCCCAGTACACCTCTACATTCAGGTACACACCCCAGTACACCTCTACACTCAGGTACACATTCCATACACCTCTACACTCAGGTACACCTCTACACTCAGGTAGCACACCTAGTACACCTCTACACTCAGGTACACACCCCAGAACACCTCAACACTTTAGGTACACACCCCAGTACACCTCTACGCTCAGGTACACACCCCAGAACACCTCAACACTTAGGCACACACCCAGTACACCCCACACTCAGGTACACATTCCACACACCCCACACTCAGGTACACACCCCACACCTCAGGCACACCCCCACACCAGGCACACCCTACACTCAGGTAGCACACCTAGTACACCCCACACTCAGGTACACACCCCAGAACACCTCAACACTTAGGCACACACCCCAGTACACCCTGCCAGGCACACACCCCAGAACACCTCAACACTTAGGTACACACCCCAGTACACCCCACGCTCAGGTACACACCCCAGAACACCTCAACACTTAGGTACACACCCCAGTACACCTCTACACTCAGGTACACATTCCAACCTCTCCACTCAGGTACACCTCTACACTCAGGTACACCTCACACCAGGCACACCTCACACCAGGTAGCACACCCAGTCTCCCCACACCAGTGCACACACCCCAGAACACCTCAACACTTAGGTACACCCCAGTACACCTCTACGCTCAGGTACACACCCCAGAACACCTCAACACGTAGGCACACAACCTAGTACACCTCTACACTCAGGTACACCCTAGTTTACCTCTACATCCAGGTACACACCCAGTACCTCTACACTCAGGTACACACCTAGTACACCTCTTCACTCAGGTACTCACCCCATTACACCTCAACACTTAGGTACACATCCCAGTACACCTCTACATTCAGGTACACACCCCAGTACACCTGTACACTCAGGTACACATTCCAATACACCTCTACACTCAGGTACACCTCTACACTCAGGTAGCACACCTAGTACACCTCTACACTCAGGTACACACCCCAGAACACCTCAACACTTAGGTACACACCCCAGTACACCTCTACACCCAGGTACACACACCAGAATACCTCAACACTTAGGTACACACCCCAGTACACCTCTACACTCAGGTACACACCCCAGAATACCTCAACACTTAGGTACACACCCCAGTACACCTCTAGACCTAGGTACACACCCCAGTATACCTCTACACTAAGGTACACACCCCAGTAAACCTCTACACTCAGGTACACACCCCAGAATACGTCAACACTTAGGTACACACCCCAGTACACCTTTACACTCAGGGACACACCCCATTACACCATTGTGTAGGAATATAGCAAGAAGGTGAAGTAATGAGAAGGCGCCACAAGGGGGGGACCAGTAGCTTAACTGGTCAAATGGGCCCAATCTTAAAAGGCCCGATAGGGCTACTGGACGACCGTAATGCATAATATATGTTGGGGTCTATTAGGGCTGAGACTCATTTGACCTTCAAACTTAACCTTGTTGGATAGTTGTTAAAAAAATTGTTTTCATATGCTTTCAGGTGTCTGTTAGTGGCGGCTGAGATGAAATAACAAACATACATCAGTATCTTTAATTATGTTTGGACACTCTTGTGCCATATTTGACCACATCCTCCACGCACTCATGGCCAAATATTAGAACCCAGAATTATATGTGAGCTTCTCAGTAACGGGTGACCAACTTCTTCAATGCTTAAGAAGCAGCTAATGTGACACACCAGCCACTGCTATTAATAATGCAGAGGAATGCAGCATTTTTATGTAGATACCAAAACCATCATTGCTGAGGGTCATATTGCCGAGGGAGAACAAGGGTTGTTGCCAGAGTCTGAGAATAATTTACGTCAAGAATTTTTAGCCAGTGACGTCACTCAGGGGTGAACTCAGCCTGTGTTACTGGGGAATTCCTGGAAACTCTCAATATGTTATTTTGTTCACACATGCTCACGCACCTACATCAACGGCTACAAGGTTCAATCAGCATGCCCACTGTGGCACAAAAGCAAAAACAAACTCCCATTATATATATATATATATATATATATATATATATATATATATATATATATATATATATATATATATATATATATATATATATATATATATATATAAGCAGTAAGTGGTGTTCACTGACCCTGAAATAAATTGTTAATTCCCTAGAACTTGTGCTTTTCTTTCCTGTATATATATATATATATATATATATATATATATATATATATATATATATATATATATATATATATATATATATATATATATATATATATACACAATCAACACCTCAACCTGCCAGGATTGGAACCCAAGGCCCACGAGCCCATCACTGTGACTGGGGAACGCTAATGAAATATATATATATATATATATATATATATATATATATATATATATATATATATATATATATATATATAAATAAACACTAACTCACGCGTCGAACCCTGGACCTTTGGCTATGAACAGGGATCGCTACCACCGTGCCACAAGCACAATAAATACATTTCTAGGCTTTCTTACATTTCACACAAAGCCTGTTCATTGTGCTTGTTAAGCGCCGTGAACCTCCATTGGGGATTGCCCGTGCCAACTGTTACTATGTGGTCGGATTAGCATTTTACCGAATATAAAGTCATTTTCCTCTGAATTCTTTCCAAGGATTTTATACCCATTCTGTAATACGGTGACCAGAATTGAACTGCGTAATCCAAGTGAGATCTCACAAGCGCAAGATATAGTTTTGGGATGACCTCTCTAGTCTTGTAACTAACACTCCTTTGTGTGAACCCAAGTACTTTATTAGCCTTGTTTCGAGCAAATACACATTGTTTACTTGGCTTAAGATTCCTACTTGTCATTACTCTTAAAGTCTTCTCGCAGTCGGATTTCTCAATAACATCGTTGTTCAAATGGTATCTGGTTTCCCTGTTTACACCTCCAATCTGTTTCCCTGTTTACATCTGCCAATGATTTTCAGCTAAACGTGCAAATCTTAACAGGTGCTGTACGAGCCTGGACGATTCGGCACCGGATTCCAGATCTTGGTTGACGGCATCCCCATCACGGAATGCTCCCTGGCTCCCACCCAGCCATCACACTCCTGCCACACCGCCTCCGCCACCTACCTCCCAAGGGTGAGTCTTCCACAGTACCTTCCAAGGGTGAGTTTTCCTCAATTCCTCCCCATGGTGAGTCTTCTCCACTACTTCCCAGGGTGAGTTTCCCCACTATCTTCCCAGGGCGAGTCTTTCTCACTACCACCCCAGTATGTTTCTTCCTCAGTTCCTCCCCAGGGTGAGTCTTTCCCAGTTCCTCCCCAAGGTGTGTTATGCCTAGTTCCTCCCTAGGGTGAGTCTTAACCAGTTCCTCCCCAGAGTGAGTCTTGCCCAGTTCCTTCTTTGGGTGAGTTTTCCCCAGTTCCTTCCCAGGTGAGATATTATGTCTTAATTTATTTTATAGTATACCTTGAGTCTCTTCAACAATATTATTTATTTGCCTCAAAACTAGTTTGTTACTCTAAATATATTCCCTTTGATTGATGATGTTTTGCTCGCATATATTGTGAATACTGTTTGTATGAAATAAATTAAAGCCAAGATCTCTCTACAGGACGCTAAGGTGTACGTGCGAGACCTTGAGCACCATACGACGGCTGTCAAGCGTCAGGAGAACAGCTTCTTTGGTCTGGTGAAACTCATGGACGCCCCGAAAACCGCTGAGGAGCTGCTGTTGGGATGAACTCCCACAGGAGGCTACGAGAGGGGATGGTTGGTAGTGGGTCGGTGGGTCAAGGGATGACATGAACATTCATATTTACGTGTTAGGTAAACGGGTGTCTCCTGGGTAATGGTGAACCAAGAAAAGTTGTTATATTATGTTGCTGGTGATAATCAGACAATAATATCTTCTTATAAGAGATAATGGATGGAAAGTGAATTACTCCAATGAGGACTGTGACCAATAAGCAAATTGTCTTGAAAACTTTATATTCAGGAAAGATTTTAACAAATGAAAGCCGCTGAAAAAAAATCAGTACAAGCATTATTTTATGGAAAAGTCTACCATGTAATTAGAACACTTGGGCCAGAGTTTTATACATCATCTAAAAGGCAAATATTCACTTGGCGTCGTCTTGGCGCGCACGATTTTGACGACCTTTTTAACTTATTTTGTTTTGCCGTCGTTATAAACGTCCCATTTAAAATATCAAATGAGATTAATAAACTGCGATGTTAACGGTGACTCCATGCCTCCGTAAGCTTATGTTAAATCCTGAAATATACTTGATCTTACAGTTCATAATATACAAGACTACATATCATTATCTGATGATTTTATCAGATGATGCAATTTAGGATAATTCAGAGAATCAGAGAGCAGCTCCACAAGAATTTAACGACTTCAATAAACTTAAATTATGAGACATATTCTGAGACATATAACATGGAAACCCAATGTTGTATAAAAGAAGATTAGTTTGTTTAATTGGCCATTGTTGTGGTGCTGGATCTCTGGAGCATATATACGAGAAGCAACACTTATTTTCTTATATATACAGTACATGAATACACGGGCACGGAACTGAAATTTTTATGTAATTTATTCTAATTTTTCACTTTTCGATGATCTGAGGTTATGGTGACTGAGAGTGTAGGGAAACCTTAGTAAGGCTAACTAAAGTATATCATTAAGGATATTTGTTTACGGCTGTTTTGTGACTTTTGAATGTGTTAAGTAGAGAAGTTTCATGACCGTGTTTACTTAACTGAGATATAATAGGCAGCCACATCTGTAATGTTGATTTGCATGTGTTAACCCCACGGTGCTGACATATAGAATCTATTTTACAGATATGCGATGCTGCTTTTGGCGTATTTTTTTCGCATTATTCAATTAATTAATCAGATCTGTAATGTTAACTCAGAGACTCAACTTTACATCTTTTTTTCACGGGGCAAGTTTGTGTTTTTGGTGGTGTACCTGTAAGGAGTAGTGTGGGGTCCGGCTGTGGGTGCCTCTTGCCCCGCGCGGGTTGTGCACAGTGAAAGTAACTTTACCTGAAATGTGATTTTGCGTTGACGTTTAGGCGTTTAATTAGGAACAAGCTTTAATTATAGATGTAAAACAGAGTTTATGCTGTAGAGGGGAAAATATCTATATATTTATAGACAATAATGGAATGTAATGTATAGGAGTGCATTCATATAAAGTATTTGATCTTGAATAAAGATTAAAGAACATTATCTAGGCATTGTTGCCAGTAAATATAACAAGTGTGATGATGAGTTATGTGTCACTTTGAATACTGTCAAGAAGAAGACCACAGCTTTGTAACAAGTCTGTTGTGAAAAAAAAGAAGATACTATTTAAAGTGAAAGCCTTACACCTAGTTTTCCTAGTAAAATATATATATATATATATATATATATATATATATAATGTGGTTACAACTATTTTACTGTAAGAGACGAAAAGTGACGTCGTTAGGAACACCACCATTTTAATATACTTTAGTGTACTAGAGAGTAACAGGAGAATTTACTTATAGTTTCATTGATTCGCTCAAGAGCTTAATGGATCCTGCGTTTCTCTTTAGATTAGAAACTTACTCATAAAACATGATAACAACTGGTACCAGATGTGATAAAAGTTACGAGAAACTTCCATTATTAGTCTACTGTAAATACCCAGATATCGCTTATATGTACCTTAAATATTTTAACAAATTATATAAATAAATAAACAAATAAATAAATAAATAAATAAATAAATAAATAAATATATATATATATATATATATATATATATATATATATATATATATATATATATATATATATATATATATATATATATAGTATATATATTAGGGTAGTCCATTTATTTATGGTTGAATAAAAAATTGTAAAATATGGTTCCTTTCAAGGCTGCCCATGTGCCACTGTGTTCAACGAATTCACAGTAGAAAAAAAAAAACATTTTTAAGTGTTACTAGAAAATAACACTTTTCCCATGCCATAAGTATTTCACCATACACTTGGTGAAATACGGATATTAAACATGTTTTTTTCAGAGTAGTGCTTTCAAATAAATATAAATGCATGCCCAGAAATAACTAATTTTAATTACATATTAACAAAAAAACACAATCGTATTGCTAATTTCAATTTTAGAAATAATGTTAACTTGGTAATTGATGTTCTATCAGCCAGCGAGGGCTTGCGAAACCAGTTACTGTACATGGTCTCGTTTTCGATACAACAGCATTAAACACCTGGGTTAACATAGGGACCTGCATACTCATTGAAAAAGCAGTTGGCCGCTCACTAACTTGGAGGGCTTGTCTTCCTCATGTGTTTTAATTAATGTTATCAAAAGTGTTTTCATATTGTTTTGGATCCCAAATACACCACTATTCAAATGCTTCAAAGAACAATGGCCAAGCGTAAACAAGAAACAGTATAATGATGCAGTACCAAAACTCTTCATAGAAACAGTAGGTGACATCTGACATAAACTTATTAAATTCTACACTGAAGTCTCCAGAACAGTAGCTTCTTTACAGAGGACTACAAAGAACTCCTCCGTTTGTGTTCAATCTTCCTTGGTGGAAGTGTATCTGATGGCATTTATTTCAGAATACCAGATGGATGGCTCGGGCCTTATGTCTTGAACATTTTCTTATTCATAAGACAATGTTAAATTAACTGCTCGGTTGGACAACAGTTTGCAGGAAATGTGCTTGTTCGTTACAGTCATTTATGCAAAGTACTGGCATGAAGCACCAATAGCAATATAAGCTCCAAGAAATGATTTAGCCCTTTTATCTTCATTGAGGGACTAACCCAATGAGGCACATACTGACGTTGCAAACAATGCATTCAAAATTCATCTTTGGTATTTATGAGAAGAGCTTGTGGAACTTTCGTTCCTTGACAAACGCTTGGATATTGATCAAAAAGTAAAGTTGGTTGTAAACCTCACTAGGAAAATCAATGGAGATGAAAGTTGTTAATGATTGCGCAGAGAGAGTTATGAAACTGTTGAAACAGTTCAGCTCTACAATCATAAGAGCTGAACTACACAAACAATATCTTCTTCGCCTTGTTAAATCTCACCTAAAATAATTCCCTACACCCTCCAAGGCAATTTCTTAAGCAGTAGCTTGTCTTTAAGAATCCAGTCATTCGTGTTCACTATTCTTTTTTGTACCAATTAATCATATTGGCTGTTAGTTTTTCAGTTTACTAATAGATAATAATTATGTAATTTTTTCTTTATTAAATTGTATTGTTCATATTATAGCAACCCCTAAATTTATTTCAATGCACCTGAGATTTGATGGCCAGTTCCTTTTAGTCATATGAAACAAGGGCAGACTTGAGGAAAACAGGAAATAACATTGAATATTTTAGGACCACCCTTATATATATATATATATATATATATATATATATATATATATATATATATATATATATATATATATATATATATATATATATATATATATATATATATATATATATTTATTTATTTATTTATTTATTTATATTCTAGCCTATGTATACTGAAAACCAATCACTATCTGCAAATGACGATCTGGAAAATATGATGCAACTGGTATTGTAAATATGTATGATTATAAAGATTTCATATAGCCAATGTCTGTAGGCAATGAAACTCAAAACATAATACGGCCACATCCCTCCACTGTGTGGTATTTCTACCACCTTATTTAATGTTGTCGTGTTCTGTTTCATACAGTGTCATGCCGGGCTACAAGTGTCACGTAGTTCACACACTATGGTACAAGTATCATATCATATTACAAATGTCACACCATGACACAAGTGTCACACCATGACCAGGTGTCACACCATGACAAAGTGTCACGCCATAATCAAGTGTCACCATGATACAAAAGTCACACCATGATCAAGTGTCACATCATAATACAAGTGTGACACGCTGCATTACATTGTTCCACACTTGGCATTTCCCAGAAATTATTACAATATTTTAGAGCTATACCGGTATGTTTGTTCATAATTACTGTTTACTGGTGTTTGTTGCGAGAGGCTGTGTCTGGTGTACACTACTGGTATATGCACGTACGTAAATAATCAGAATATCCTAGTTGCTGACAGTTCCTTCCGAAAGCATGTATTCGATTTACAGTACTTGGTTAGGCTATGAATTTGTTTAAATAGCAATTACATGATATGACTCCCAATTTATGTCGAATATGGTTACGAGTTTCAGGCTTAGGGAAACTTGGTTTAACATAAGACTAGTTGTTCATAGTAACCAGTGATGGTGTATTGTTCAAACACCTTTGGCAAATTACGGACTAATACTAATAATGAGTGCCCTAAAGGCAATATCGAATAATGCATTTTGCAGTGGTGAAATTGTTAAAATTACTGATTAATTTTAGGAAAGTTTGGAATTCAGTTCAGTGTATAACTAGTTTTTTTATGAACACAGCAGTGATCATTTGTTGCCTCATAGGCATAATTGCCCGCTGGGAACATTGTGGATACAGCACCTTGTATACTAAGCCTTCGGTACACAAGGAGGCAGCGTGGCCGGTCTCACCTGTATTAACTGTTAAATGTTTATCATAATCCAAAATCGTAACTATGACCTGACTAAAGTACTTCTTATTTTAAGCTCAGAATGATTCATCACAATATTTTTTTTTTTTTATTTCATGTTAAGACTATTTATTTACAGATAATATATGCACATTATGCTAACATAAACATAAGTCATTTAAATATTTTGCATTTTGCAAATTTCGTATTTTATTAAAACAATTATTTATATCAAACATAGACATAATATTTTCTACTTTCATCGGCATTTTTTTTTTAGATTTCAAGATATATTTTACATAATATATACAGTATTTCAATCTTCATATTATGCTTATGGGTCACGAAATGTCAAGTTTATACCAGTTTCCTTGAAATGTTCATTTTTTTTTCTCCAAATATTATCCTTTATATATGGAAGGATTATTAATCTTCCTGAGATTAAAATCCCCAGTAAAAGAAAAATATATTATTCTGCAATGGAAAAGCATACATTTGGAAACCATCCTCGTAGTACCTTGAGGATACACTGACATATCTTTCACACAGAAATGAAAACCACAAACCTTTAGTGCCTTAGACGCGCCAGTGGACATTGGCTATCTATTGATTTAATTTAAGAAAATCAATTGGTTAGAGTTAAATCAAGATTGTAAATATCATGTGCTTTGTTATTTAATAAATCTTAATAAAGGTAATATTTTGTATGTCACTTGTAGTTTCCTTAACCCAGGAGTATGGCAGAAAGCTCAAATACTTCATTCCCTTCTACTCACTCCGAGGATGTCATAATAAAACTTTTATTGACAAGTTCTCGAAATAAATGTAATAGAAAGACGACAGTAGCAGGATACTGTAAGTGGGTGTTCTTGGTGATATACAGGTTGGACGTTACACTCTGAAAGGTTGACAATGTTAATACCTAGATAAAGTACAATGGGTACTCCCCAACCTTTTTAAAGATGCGTAGCGATCCATCAGAAGCAGTTTAAAACTAAAATAAATGTTTCAAGGAAGAGTTGCGTGGCAATAGCAAAGGTTTTCGCCTTATAAATAATCAGAGAGATATGACATGTCTGAAATGTGAAAGTGCGATTTAGCGAGAAGAGGGTGTATTTTACTGTACACAAAGTTAATGGGAATGTATGTTATAACACTGTTAGTGAAGATCAACGAATTTTGATGAACTTTAACGAAGTTACATTCATGAAAAGATTTTATTTCGGTGGTCACTGGAGCCTATAATACAATGTAATGAATCGCAAACAAAACCTGTATTTTGGTAGGGAATTTCATGCGGTGTAATTTGGGACTAAAACTACTAATCTAGATTGATGAAAAATATATTTATACAAATAGGCCAGTTGATAGAGAAAATATGAGTCACACTACAAAAGAGATGGCCGCCACGTATCTTTATATGAGATTCCAACACCATCTGATCAAATAAAAACAGACAGACAGACAGACAAGTTAATTTTGCTCAGACTTTTCAAAGTATGGAACACAGCTACTTATCACAACAATCACAGGTTAATTAAATTTATAAGTTGCCAACACCCACTTACATACTGAGTCTTTAAAGGAAGAAAAACAAATATTCAATAGCGTTTCCATCTGAAATTTATGTTTTTCGGGTATTTTAACCGATAAAATTACCCACAATATTGGTTGCTCAAAGTTGGCGGAATCCTACCCTATTCTGGAGCGGAATCCTACCGTATTCTGGGGTGGAATCCTACCGTCTTCTAGGGGGAATCCTACCGTATTCTGAGGCTGAATGATACCGTCTCCTGGAGCGAATTCCTACCGTATTCTGAGGCGGAAACCTTACCGTCTTCTGGGGCAGAATCCTACCGTATTTTAGGCGGAATCCTACCGTCTTCTGGGCCAGAATCCTACCATATTCTGGGAAGGAATCCTACCGTTTTATGAGACGGAATCCTACCGTATTCTAAGGCGGAATCCTACCGTCTCCTGGAGCGGAATCCTACCGTATTCTGAGGCGGAATCCTACCGTCTGCTGGGACAGAATCCTAACGTAATTTAGGCGGAATCCTACCCTATTCTGGTCAGGAATCCTACCGTATTCTTGGGCGGAATTATACCGTCTTCTGGGCCAGAATCCTACCCTATTCTGGGAAAGAATCCAACCGTCTTCTAGGGCGGAATCCAACCGTATTCTGAGGCGGACTCCTACCGTATACTGAGGCGGAATCATACCGTCTACTAGAGCGGAATCCTACCGTATTCTGAGGCGGAATCCTACCGTCTCCTGGGGCATAATCCTACAACAATTTAGGCGGAATCCTACCCTATTCAGGGGCGGAATCCTACCGTCTTCTGGGGAAGAATCCTACCCTATTCTGGGAAGGAATCCTACCGTCTCCTGGAGCGGAATCCTACCGTCTCCTGGGGCAGAATCCTACCGTATTTTAGGCGGAATCCTACCCTACTCTGGGGCGGAAGGTTACCGTATTCTGGAGCGGAATCCTACCGTCTTTTGGGCCAGATTCCTATCCTATTCTGGGATGGAATCCTACCGCCTTCTAGGGCGGAATCCTACCGTATTCTGAGGCAGAATCCTTCCTTATTTTAGGCGGAATCCTACCCTATTATGGGGCAGAATCCTACCTTATTCTGGGGAGGAATCCTACCGTCTTCTGTGGCGGAACCCTACGGTATTCTGAGGCAGAATCCTACCATCTCCTGGAGCGGAATCCTACCGTATTTTGAAGGAGAATCCTACCGTCTCCTGGGACAGAATCCTAACGTATTTTAGGCGGAATCCTACCCAATTCTGGGAGGGAATTCTACCGTATTCTGGGGTGGAATCATACCGTCTCCTGGAGCGGAATCCTACCCTATTCTGAGACGGAATCCAACCGTCTCCTGGGGCCGAATTCTACCGTATTCTGGGGCGGAATCCTACCGGATTCTCAAGCGAAATCCTACCGTATCCTGAGGCGGAATCCTTCCGTATTCTGGGGTGGAATCCTACCATATTCTCAAGCGGAATCCTACCGTTTCCTGAGGCGGAATCCTACCGTCTCCTGGAGAGGAATCCTACCCTATTCTGAGACGGAAGCCAACCGTGTCCTGGGGCAGCAACTTACCGTATTTACGCGGAATCCTACCCTATTATGATGCGGAATCCTACCGTCTTCTGGGGCGAAATCCTACCGTATTCTGAGGCGGAATCCTACCAACTCCTGGGCGTAATTCTACCGTATTTTACTCGGAATCCTACCCAATTCTAGCGCGGAATCCTACAGTCTTTTGGAACGGAATACTACCGTATTCTGAGGCGGAATCCTACCGCATTCTGAGGGGGAAGCATACCTTCTCGTGGAGCGGAATCCTACCGTATTCTGAGTCGGAATCCTATCGTCTCCTGGGGCAGAATCCTACCGTATTTGAGCCGAAATCCTACCCTATTCTGAGGCAGAATCCTACCGTCATATGGAGCGGAATCCTACCGTATTCTGGGGTGGAATCCTACCGTATTTTGGGGCAGATTCCTACCCTATTATGCAACGGAATCCTAACCTAACCTAACCGAACCAATAAAACATAAAAATTAGAAAAAAATAAAAATAACACAAAAAATATATCAGTTACCCATCAAATTAAATAGGTTTTCTTTGTTTTTCCAACAAATAAAACAGCCTGACTTATCTACCTGTGACAGACAAAATTCACAAGATGTAAAAGCGCTTCTTCTGAACACTAGAACCATAGAATCATAAACCCTACCGTATTTTAGGCGGAATCCTACCTTATTCTGGGGCCTAATCCAACCGTATTCTGGTGCGGAAACCTACTGTCTTCTGGGGCAGAACCCTACCCTATTCTGGGAAAGAATCCTACCGTCTTCTGAGGCGGAATCCTACCGTCTCCTAGAGCGGAATCCTATCGTATTCTGAGACGGAATCCTACCGTCTCCTGGGGCAGAATCCTACCGTATTTTAGGCGGAATCCTACCATATTATGGAGCGTAATCCTACCGTATTCTGGGATGGAATATTACCGTCTCCTAGAGCGGAATCCTACCGTATTCTGAGGCTGAATCCTACCGTCTGTTGGGGCAGAATCCTACCGTATTCTGAGGCGGAATTCTACCGTATTCTGAGGCGGAACCCTACCGTATTCTGAGGCGGAATCCTACCGTATTCTGAGACGGAATCCTACCGTCTCCTGGAGCAGAATCCTACCGTATTTTTGGCGGAATCCTACCATATTCTGGGGCAGAATCCTACCGTATTCTGGGGCGGAGTCCTGCCGTCTTCTGGGCCAGAATCCCACCCTATTCTGAGGCGGAATCCTACCGTCTCCTGGAGCGGAATCCTACCCTATTCTGAGGCGGAATCCTACCGTCTCCTGGGGCACATCCTACCGTATTTTAGGCGGAATCCTACCCTATATTGGGGTGGAATCCTACCGTATTCTGGGGCTGAATCCTACCCGATTCTGGGAATCAATCCTAACCTAACCTAACCGAACCAATAAAACATAAAAATTAGAAAACACTAAAATTATATAAAAAATATATTAGTTACCCATCAAATTAAAAATAGGTTTTCTTTGTTTATCCAACAAAGAAAACAGCCTGACTTATCTACTTGTGAGAGACAATATTCACACGATGTAAAAGTGCTTCTTCTGAACTCTAGAACCATAGAATCATAAATCCTACCGTATTTTAGGCGGAATCCTACCCTATTCTCGAGCGGAATCCTACCGTATTCTGGGGCGGAATCCTACCGTCTTCTGGGCCAGAATCCTACCCTATTGTGAGGCGGAATCCAACCGTCTCCTTGAGCGGAATCCTACCGTTTTCTCATGCTGAATCCTACCGTCTCTTGGGGCAGAATCCTACCGTATTTTAGGCGGAATCCAACCCTATTCGGGGGCCGAAGTCTACCGTATTCTGGGGCGGATTCCTACCGTATTCTCAAGCGGAATCCTACCGTATCCTTAGGCGGATTCCTAACGTATCCTGAGGCGGAATCCTACCGTCTCCTGGAGCGGAATCCTACCCTATTCTGAGACGGAATCCTACCGTATCCTGAGGCGGAATCCTACCGTATTCTGGGGCGGAATCCTTCCGTATTCTGGGGCGGAATCCTACCGTATTCTCAAGCGGAATCCTATCGTATCCTTAGGCGGAATCCTACCCTATTCTGAGACGGAATCCAACCGTCTCATGGGGCAGAAACCTACTGTATTTTAGGCGGAATCCTACCCTATTATGGAACGGAATCCTACCGTCTTATGGGGCGAAATCCTACCGTATTCTGAGGCGGAATCCTGCCGACTCCTGGGGCGCAATCCTACCGTATATTATTCGGAATCCTACTCAATTCTAGCGCGGAATCCTACCGTATTCTGGGGCGGAATCCTACCCTATTATGGAGCGTAATCCTACCGTATTCTTGGACGGAATCCTACCGTCTTCTGGAACGGAATCCTACCTTATTCTGAGGCGGATTCCTACCGTATTCTGAGGGGGAAGCATACCTTCTCGTGGAGCGGAATCCTACCGTATTCCGTGTCGGAATCCTACCGTCTCCTAGGGCAGAATCCTACCGTATTTGAGCCGGAATCCTACCCTATTCTGAGGGGGAATCCTACAGTCTCCTGGAGCGGAATCCTGCCCTATTCTGGGGTGGAATCCTACCGTATTCTGGGGCAGAATCCTACACTATTCTG